GAATCGGAGGTGGACGATAAGCCTCATCCTCGTACCGCCCTCCTCAAAAAACGGAACCAACCTTATCTCTGCAGCCCGGGGAACCCAGAGCTCTTTCGTAAGCCCACGTCTACTCCAATATATAAAGACTCGAAATCTCAAGGCAAAGGTACGTGTGATTACTCTACTCACTAGCAATCAAACTCTTAAGCATTCAACTCGCATTTTCAGCACAATTACTGACTTAGGCATCGGAGCGACCTCGCCGGATTAACTACCCTAGGTTCTCTGATCTATCATTTTGTAGATCGATCCAGCTTGCCGTCCACCTAGAGTTCGGATCACCCTCCAACTTGGAATAGTCAGATCATGCACCATCAAAATATAATTGAAATTCAATAAAATTTAATTTTATATCTAAATATAATTTAAATAATTGAATCGTATTGTTAAGTAAAGAAATGAACTGAGCTCGATTGGATCAAGGAGACAGTCTAGACCAGTCTATGCAAATAGGAATTTGAATCGGTCTAAGCCGGTCTATGCCAATACGAATTTGAATCAGATCTTGATTGAATATATAATGGACCCAATCCAAATAACATCCTTGACCCGGACCGAGCTATGGTGGTCGCTCGATACAACGACCACAATGGCAAATTAGGGTATATTTTTCACTTAGTTTAGGCATCCAAACCAAATAAAAGATGCCGTCAACCAATCTATACATCAAAACTGGCCAAGAAAAGCTAGATTTGACCAATAAAATATTCATTCTAAATGTTTTCAAACAAAAACTAATTGATCAGAAAACAAAAAAAGATGGTTGGAATACTCAATACATACTTTCAGAATGATCCGAGAGAGAGTAAAATGGGAGAAGAAAGAACCTTTTGCCCTTGCCCTTACTTTATGGTGATTTTGCACTGAATCAATGAGAGAAACTTAATGATATTATAGACCTTTTTAGCCCCGAGTTGGGTTCTGACCTTTCGCCCCTATTTTTTTTGTCCAAAACAATGTCTTCCTGCCACTGTTCATCCAAAATAGAGATTAAGGGCCTGTTCGTTTGGTCTGATATCTGATGTGTAAAAATGAAATAATTACATTAAGAGGTATATTGGTATTGGTGAATTTTTCTTTCTTTTGAATTCTAAATGCAAAGAATATTATTTTAAATTCTAAAAAAATGTTAAATATCCATTTTAACCCCATCGAGTATCCAACCTTCATGACCAGGTTGGGATAGAGATGGAGATTTCCTTAGCGGGGATAGGGTGGGGATGCGATTAATAGGATTACCCAATTGGGAATCAGCCAATCAGGATGGGGACGGGGAGTGAAGTCCACACCTTGCCTCGACCCCAATTATATATTTTAAATATATGTGTATATATTATATTAAATATATAATATTATTTATATATATCAAAATAAATTTGAAATATTATTTGCATTTTAATTTTCCTTTAGTTTAAACAAATACCTTTCTGAAAACAAACTTTTAATTAAAACATTGGGGATTTTAGGTCCGTCTCCATCGGGGATCAAGGATATAGGCTAAACTTTTTGCCAACGGGAACTAGGGTTAGAGATGGGAATTAATTTAAAACTTGGGGTCAGGATGGAGAGTATGGTCCCCACTCCGAAGTTGCCAATTGCCATTCCTACTCGAGGGGTCATCCTCTAAACCCATAACACCCCCAAACCCATAATATAGTTCCAATAATTATGATAATTATAAGTGTAGTATCCAATACTTATGAAAATTATTAAATTTTTCCAATTATTTATTTAAATTATTGGAATTTTTATAATTTAACTTTCACTAAACTAAATTACCAAAATCAGTATTTTTTAGTAATTAAATATCAAAATCAGTAATTATTGCTAAAAAATTATAGTAAATATCAAAATTACTGAAAATATAAAATAGATTTATATTTATTGAAATTAATTTCCACTAAAAAAAATTACTGAAATCATTTTAATTATTATCTGATAATATCATTAAATATTAATAAATTGACCAAAATTACTAAAAAGTATAAATATCAATAACAACTTATTGCGAAAAAATATTGATAATATCAAAATTACAGAAAATGTAAAAAAGTAAATTTATATTTATTGAAATAAAATTTTCCATGAAAATTTATCAATAATTATTAATTATTAAATTTGTATTTATTAATATTTTAATTAATTTTCAATTTTCTGTAATTATTGATTTCAATAATTAATTATCAAAAGTTTATGAAGTTAAATTACCAAAATTAATAATTTTTGGCATGTAATTTTCAGTAATTAAAATTTCCAATTTACCAAAATTATGAAAAGTTATAGTTTAGGTGTTGTTATTTACTGAATAATATTCAATAATATCCATAATTATTGAAAATGTCAAAAATATTTCCCAAATTAATTTCGTTATGTTTTATTTTTTTGGTTTTTATATGGTATTTTAGGAGGTGGCTTGGCTAAGTGATTGGAAACATGAGAGAGAGAGAGTAGGACTCTAGTGAAGAAAGTGGGCTGCCACGTGGCTACATGGAAGGGCTAGGTTTTAGGCAAGTATCCATTTGTGTGGATTGTGAGAGATTATAGGAAAAGATTAGAGAGAGAGAGATTATAGGTAAGTTTCCATTCTTGATAAATTTTCTTCCTAAGTTAATGTGTTTTGTTCCTAAAATAAAGTTGGTGGGTTTTCTTCCTAAAATATTGGGGAAAAAAAGGGGAGATTGCCACGCTGACATGGGGCAAAGAGAGGCCATCTAACGTGGTAAGCTCTATTTTATTATATATATATATATATAGATTACTTATATACCCTATATATTTGAAAAACTATTTATATATGCCTTTAACTTTTTAAAACAAGTTATAAATACCTTGTTGACCTTTCCAAGGTTAAGTCTAAGGGATAAAAGGTAAAGGACAAAAATATAATTAACTATTCATTAGATTTTCAAAATCTGACATTTTCTCTCTATTATTTTTTCTCTTCTCCTGCTCCTCCTCTCCATAGAGGGCAATAACGCCTTTCATTATTGATGCTGCCTGATACTGTGTGTCTAGTAGTAGCTAGATTGATTGTATGGCCTCTATTGGGATTTGAGACTGATAATTCACACTGGCGTTATAACTTTTCTGTTCCCCGCTCTCTAGTAGGTATTACCCGATTTTAAAAGATTAGGATTTAGGGGGCATTATTTAACATTACCACTCTGGTTTGTTCGGTTTGTTAAGAGATGATGTGGAGAGAGATGAGGATTTGGAAGTAAATTTGGCATTATAAAAATTTTTGAGTGTGCTGTTAACGGTTTTAAACGGTGCGATAGGGGATGTCCTGTTTATGTTATACAGGGCCGATCAATAAGGCATGTATAAGTTGATTTTGAAAGTTAGGGTAATACATAAATAGTTTCTGAAAATTATTATAAACAATTGCACATTGTATGATGTATCAAAACAATGTACTTTCTTGGTTTCAATGTTAAAAATCAAGAGCAAACATGGACACTCAACACACTACAGGAGAGTTTGGATCTGCCACCCACAAGGCCTCTATCTCTCCATGCATGACAATCCATAAGGCTTACACTACAGGAGGTATCCTATATTCGAACAGCTAATTGCTATATATATATATATATATATATATATAGATAAAAGAAATGTAATGCTACTGGTGACTGGTGAGGTGCAGAGGAGTTGGTGGTGGGATGGGAATTGGAGTGATTATTGATTACAAGGTGGTAAGTGGGTATCTAGTCAAACTTCGTTGACAAGTTTGATTAGGTTGAACCTTTAAGTTCAACTTTTTGGGCATGCAAGAGCAGTAGTTGGTCATCAAATTGCAAAGAAAAGAGTAGAGACGTAACCCTCACTCTTTTGTTTTGTCATCATCGCAACATTGCTTATGCTTACAACTTCCAACTTTGTCCCTTTCGTAATTTAATTTGATCTTGAGAGTTGTGATGCCATGCCATCCTCCGCGTATGAACATGAAAATAACCCAAAACGTCAAAACTGGTCGTTGAGGTTGAGCCACCTCACCTCTACATTCAGTGGTTGATTCACATCGCATCCAAGATTGTATTAATTATTGGTTGCTTAATTAACAAGACTCAGCAGTCAACACACCACCCGGAGTCTGGACTCAACACATCGTACAAACCTTTCATCAAATCAAGCATCACCTCAGGCTCAGGAGTCCTTACGCATACATTTCATTTTTAAAGGAGTACAAATCGTATGACTCTGAATCCATCGTTTTCAAACCCACGCACGGGCACTTATATTGAAAGTGGGGCCCACTCTTCAATCTCTCAGCTTCACAAGGCAGATCAAATGGTTATGGTTGAGAGTTGCTGTACTGTGCTCCAGCATCCAAATATGGGATGGGAGAGAGAATGGAGCAGGGAAGTGGCAATGGGGCCACCAAACCCCACACACATATATATATATATATATATATATATATATATATCCAGAAATCACACAGCTGGACAGCACTCACTACATTGTTTTTTTTGAGTAAAGTTGTCGGTCAAATCACAGCTGTCTTGAAAGGATCTAGATGATGTGGGTCCCATCATTCACTACTGAGACCGAGACTCGAGAGTTGTGAGTTGAGCTCTTCGGCCCAGGCCCCAGGGCCGGTGGGGAGCTGCCTAAACCTAAACCTAATTCCCACACCACAACGCGAACGGGATATCTCGTGGGCCCCACCCCAGCCCCCGGGTTTGGTCCCGTTGTAGTCGGAACGGGATAAACTAATCCCCACAACGCGACAAAAACTGCACGACTGTACCACCTTGGACTGTGCGTTGGGCCTTAGCGGCTTAGCCCTTTGCCCTTGAGCCGTCGTCGAGACTCGACAATACTGAATGGACTCTGCTGCTTTCTTCTCTTCTCTTCTTGAGCCGTTGCTCCTCATTAAATCTTGATTTCCGCCTTCCGCGTACAACGTACCGGACTACTGGGGGTGTTATTAAAATACGTAGAGGGCAAAACTATTTACATTTGTATTTGTATTGCTTTCGAACTGAGCCTGAGCCTCAGGGATTGGGATGGATGATATGATCAACATATTATAGGGGTATGGAGTACTTTGGGGGGAATTAATGTTGTCGATCGACTTCTGACTTGTCGTTCCTACGTACTCTCTGCCTATGGTGCTATAAATAGGAACCTCTCTCACTCTCATTTTGGCTCACCAAATTCTCTCGTCATCTCAATCTAAACGCAGGTTTCCATTTTCCCTATCTCCATCCCATGGCTATTTACAATGACAGGGCCGTTGTTGCTTCTTCACTACTTGTCATCTCCCTTCTCCTTCTTCATATGGTTGAAGCTGATCATCATCAAATGGTAAATTAATTATGCCTCATCTCATGCAACTTCATTCTGTGTTTCCTTTCTTTTCGTAGTTCTCTGAGTCTGAGTATTAATTTTGTTGTAGACGATGGACACAGAGGGCTATCCACTAACTCCCCCTTCCATAGGTACGTAGCTATAGGTGTACTCATAATATTACTAACAAGTGCAGAAGAAAATATATAGTGAAATGGTATTATTCAATAGTCCAACTTGTTTGTTGATGGATGATCAGATTGTGGTGTGGCATGTGCGGCGAGGTGTAAGCTATCGTCGAGGCCACGGCTGTGCAAGAGGGCGTGTGGAACTTGTTGCTACAGGTGCAAATGCGTCCCGCCTGGCACCTCTGGTAACCTGGAGGCCTGCCCCTGCTATGCCAACATGACCACTCATGGCAACAGACGCAAGTGTCCTTGATTCATCGATCATTCCATCCATTTTCTATCTTACTATCTCTCTATATTTCAATTTCACTTCTCTTCAATCAACAACCGATCAACCAGTCCTACTCGTACGTAGTCGTTCCAGTCTTGTGTAGAAAATAAGAGAGTAACCAGCATCCATCCATCCATCTATATATATCTTCTCCAAATGAAATGTTGTTGCTCTGCTTACAACTTTACAAGAACAACTGTTATAAATGTATAGAAATCAAGTTTCTTTATTCTTATTTCTAGCCTTTTCTGTGTTGTACTACATCACTGTCCAGTATCCGTGCCGTGTATAGGTTGGAATGAATGGTTTATTTATTGAAGCTTCTCTTTTAGTTAATAATAGAAATAATCCATTCATTATTGGGAAAGTTGTGGAGAGGGGGACAGAGGGTTTCGTCCTTTATTGAGACTTGAAGGCGTATAAATAATAAATTGATTAATTTTCATTTCATTTGCCCGTACGTGGTGGGTTTGAAGCCAATAGGGCTTATGGTGTATGAATCAGTGGTCGTCCGTGGTGGAGGCATATCTCTGCTATAGTCTATATAGCCTGTGAATCTGTGATTATCCAAATTAAGTTCTAATCTAATATATTTCACGGTTCCAGCTATTTATTTATTTTAACTAATTGTGCTACTTAAATAGCCTGAACTACCAATATTTGTAAAGCCAGATTTAACTACTCTAACTTGGATCAAGATTTAACAAATGAGATAACAACAAACTAATTAGGTGGTGACACCAGGTCAGAGATATCACTGATCATCCGGGGATGACAACTGTGGCCACACCTGGGGTTTGCTATTTCTTCTCAGGAATCTCCTTTTCCCTACCAAAAAAAGCCCAAACCCACTACCTTTCTCTTATTATTAGAGTTGTATTATAGAATAAACACCCGATTATTGCACTCCTTGACCTAGATGGATGATCTCACATAAATAGATTTACTTATTATTTGAGCAAGGGTAGCGCTGTTAATGGGTTGGGTCTGATTTAGAACAGGGTGGGCCAGCCTCTAATTGGACACTCAGGTCTGACATGATTATAGCCGATTAGACCCAATTATACGGGACATCTATAATTCTTTATCATAATAATAAATTGAAATTTCATTCTATATAATATACCCTCAATAATTGAGAAAATAAGTGGTTTAGCCAAATTTATCTTATATATCTATGGAATTTACCCTTTTGAAAATTAAAAAAAAAAAATCTTATATATTAATCGAGACACAAACGGAACCAATAGTTAAAATTTATTAAAATTTTAATAAATAGTGGGGACCTGTGTGAGGCACATGATTTATTAAAATTTTATTAAAATATCCTTTATAGTTTTATGGATTTACCAAAATCTACCCTATAGTTAAAATTTTACTAAAACACCACTTATAATTTGCAATGGATTTAATCAATCTTCCATTAGATGACAGTGGAAAATGATAGTGTTAACCCTAATATTCATTTAAATAAATTTAATCAAAAGAATATTAAAATAAAAATACCATTTTTGCCCTTTATAAGACACGGGCAACCACTCTATTGGCTATATTTTGTTAATTTTGTTTTCTGTACAAAAGAAAATGTTAAGGGTATTTTTGGAATAAAAAATTATGGGCCTAATGGCAAAACAAACTCATTAATGAAATGATTTAATAAAATAAAACTATAATGTAGGTTTAAGTAAATATGTAAAACTATAAGATGTATTCTAGTATACAATTGTTTTATATTTTTAACTTTTTAAATAATTAATAATTATTCATATTTTATATACTAATTTTAATAATTTTTTATAATACAAAAATAACAATAATTAATTTAAGTTAGGTTTATTCATCAAACTGATGAAACCGACCAACCCGATCAACTCGACCCAAGTTGGTTAGTTTTTCTACTATTTTAGGTTGGCTTTGGTTAAAAAATTTCCCAATTCGACCAAGTTGGATCAATTTCACTTTGGCCATTTGTAAACCAACCAAAATCGAATGACCTAACCATGGATATATATATATATATATATATATATATATTAATGTTTTATATTTTAAATTTAATTTTTAATATGAAAAAGTGGGAAATTTCCCATATTTCTTAGTCTAAAATGTTTTAATATCATAAATCTAATTTTTAAATTTATTTTTTAATAACTGCACTATAATTTTTAAAATTTAATTTAATTTTTAAGTCTAAATCTTTTGAACCGACTGACCAAACCAAAACATTGATCCAAACTGATAAAACTTGAGTGGGTCAGTTTTCACAAAAGGTCAATCGGTTTCAGCTAACCCACTCCCCAACCTAACCAGGTCAATTTTGTTGGCCAAATGGCCTATGACCGAACTGAACCAACCCATGAACACTCATAATTTCAACTAAATTAATAATCTCATCTCTAATAAAATATAATAGTTTAATCTCCAATAATTATTGAAAATTTATAGCAAAAAATACACAATTATTGAAAATATATTGATAATGAAAAATAAAATAATTACAAAAATACAATAAGTATTAAAATTATATTAACTTAGTCAATAAATAGTATAATTTATTACATAATTTTTTTTTATTTTAACTATTTAAAAACTAGCTACGTTAAATATTTTGTTATTTAAAATACCTAGTTATTTAAATACTTAAATAATATGTAAAATATTAGTTAATTATGGAATTTAATTATCCATAAAATCATAATTTATACTATGATTACATAATTTCATTATTAATTTTGTAATATATTAAATTATTATTATTTTCAATATAATGTTATAATCATTTTTCTACTTTAAAGAAAGTTTTTAAATTTATTACATAACTTCTTTATTTTAACTATTTAAAATCTAGTCATGATAAATATCTAGTTATTTAAATATTTAAATAATCTATAAAGTATTTAAGTGTTATTTGAATTTTATTTATTTAAAGATATTACATATTATTAAATGTTTGAAAAACATTTAAATTGATGATTTGAAAAAACATAACTTAAATTGTTAGTACATAATTTCGAGATATATTTTGTAAAAATATAAAATTATTTATTAGATAATTTCATTATTTTAACTATTTAAAATATAGTTATGATAAATACTTAAATAATCTATAAAATATTTAAATTTTTTGTTATTTGAATTTTATTTATTTAAAGCTATTACATATTATTAAATATTTGAAAAAATTTTAATTGATAACCCAAAAAAAATTAATTTTAATTGTTAGTACATAATTTCGTGATATATTTTGTAAAAATATAAAATTATTTTTTGTATTTTTAGTAAATATTTTAAAGTTATTATATAATTTTGTTAGAATATTTAAATAATTCTTAAAATTTTTTAATCCAAACGTTCTTTAGATAGATATAGATAAAAAGTAAGAGAGAGGATAATTAGGAATTAGAGATAATTCTGGAGAAAGTGGGAGAGGTAGTTTAGGATAATTTTTAGGAAAAGAGATTATTTAGGTTATTAGGAAAGTGCATCTCATTGGTTGTTTCAAAAAACGAAATGAAATAAAAAACAAAAAATTCAAAAAAAAAGGAGAAAAGACAAGTTTTGATTCATATTCAGTCGTCGAGATTGAAAGAGTAAAGACAAGTTTTGATTCTATTTGAACATTCAGTAATCCTTATAGGGTCATAATTGGGTAAAACCCTATAGGGTCGGGTTGGGTTCGAGAATCATGTATTTTAAGTCGGGTTGGATCAGGTTCGGGCTGGAGTGCTGGAGGATCGGGTTAGGATTGAGACAAACCCGTGTCAAACACGACCCGTTGACATCCCTATGTATAACCCTTGCATGTTTCTATTGTTTATCTTTAACTTAACAAATCCCGTACATCGACCCCTGCTAGTTAGTATAATAGGATGCTGTCAATTTTAATAATGGGCTTTCACATATTTTAAGTTCTCTTGGAATAGAACTAGTTTTGTCCTCAATCGGGACATATAACTATAAATTGTCTGTCCATTTTTTTAATTTATTTTCATGATTCATTTTTCATTTCTCTGATTTTATAGTCATCGGTTTGAATTGGAAAAAAATCCATTTTATCAACAAACACAAACATTTTTATGGATCATACAGAATTGAATTGACTCATTTTTCAATCTAATACATAAAAATTGTTCTGGAATTCAAAGATTATATTATTTTTACGGTTTGGGTCATGGTTTTGAAAACCAGACCGAATTGGATGCTCGGACTGGTTGACTTGGGAAATGGTCAAGCAATCGGTTTCGTTTCACCCTAAAACCACTCCTGTGCCAAAAACCATTGATTTGGTTAGTGGCTTGTTGACTTGGGCAGCTGAACTATCAACCCGTCTACCCAAACAACAAATTTTGGCTATTTTTTATTTTAATTATTTTTTAATTTTTATATTTTAAATCAGAATGGGTAATCTGTTCAAACCGGATGATCAGATCATTTGACCCAAGAACCGGTCCCCAAATAGTTGCATCTGGTCCGATTTTTAGAACCTTGGCTTGGGTCATAATAAAGTAAGGCTTTATATTATATTTGGGTAAATTACACAGATCTCCCTGTATTATGGGGTTAATGACAAAGGCCCCTACACTTTTTTTTGTAACAAAAGCCCCCTGCAACTTTTGCATTGCAACAAATGCCCCCTCGGTGGTTAAGTCAGGTAACGGAAGATGTTAAATTACTAAAATACCCCATTAAACATTTTAAATTTTCTTTTTTTTTTGCCCTTTTCTTTTCTCTTAAAACCTAGCTGGCCCTAACCGAACCGGAAATCATGTCAGGTAGAGAATCATTCATTCTCGGCATTCAAAACAGCCCAGTCCCTTCTTAGGGCCTGTTCGCTTCCTCTTAACTCTCATCTCTTAAGAGAAATCTTTTAACTTTAAGAGAAAAATTATCGTTCGTTTCCTCTTGTCTCTTATCTCTTAAAGCGCAATCATACAAAGTTTTATTTTCCAATGATACCCCCAAAAAGACAAACAAAAACTCTAATATATAGGGTCAAAATAGATATTTGATAATTTTCAAAATTCAGAATTCAGAGTTCAGAACAACATTCTCTGCATTCAGAGTTTAGAGGAAATAAAAGTTCACCTATACCAATATACCTCTTAATGTAATTATTGCACTTTTAGATGTTAGACTTTAGAGCAAATGAACAAGCCCTTAGCATAGCCATTGGGGATACCGAACACAAGATTAGCTTTCAGTTCGACGGGACAACAGTGTACAAACCTGTTACAAGCAGCACTCCTTCGTACCAAACTGAGATCCTCAGAAAAGTTTCTTGTAATTAAGTTGCTTCAATCTCTATCGTCTTCTTCTGTT